GGTGGGTACAAGCTTGAGCACATGTAGGTTGGCAACATACCTTCACATACATCGTGTTATGCTAATAAGGCTTTAGCTGCCCCTGGGGTGGTGATTCTAGTATTATAATGAGGCAAAGGTTACTTAGGTACAGTTCTCTGCCCATCTGTGCAGGTGTCACTCCTGCAGTTTCTGTCTGGACCAGTTCTGAGATGCTGGGTCCAGGGCAGTTGGCATTTAGATCTTCTTCTTGGAACACAGCTGAGACCGACAACCTTAAGACCCCAAAGACATTAGAGAAAGGAACATCTGCATCTTTTAATAAGACAAGAGAATTAGCTCAGACAAGACAAGACAGAAAAGGTCAGAGGCAGTGGCTAGTGACACCTCCTCACCTGTCCTTCAGCTCCATGCCACGCAGAAGTGAGGGATTGTTCTGTCTCTCACTGCTGTCCGTGTCCCTCTTCTCCATCAGTAACACCCAGGTTTACTTTGGGGACTGTCAACCATGGGGTTCACAGCTCAGGACTGGGTTTTGATTATATACTAAGCTCATTAGTGTATATGGCAGATTGTGTTTTCCAAAGATCGTTGTTCTAGAACCTTGTCACCCTTCCATCAAGTGGTAGAGTTTATGTACCCTCCTCTTAAACCTGGGTGGGTTTTTGTGTTTCAACCCATAGCGTAGGGCGAAGTGACACTATGATTTTCTGAGGCTAGGCCATAAGAATGCCAAATGCTTGCGCCTTGTTCTCCCGGGAGGCTGCTGTATAAGCTGTCTGCTATCCTGAGACCTCAATGATGTGGGGAAGCTCAAACTGGTCCAACTGGAGAGACCACATGGAGAGGCCCCAAGACCTCAGGAAGAGAGAGATATACCCAACCAGCTCCCAGCACACACCCCCACCCCATTCCAGCTCCCAGCATCCCCTCTTCTTCCCCCACTGTCCCCCCTCCTAGCACCCACTCTCCCTCCCTCACTGTTCCAGCTCCCAGCACCATCTAACTGCAAATCCACCAGGGGCCCCAAGCCAGAATCACCCAGCTGAGTTTAGCCAAATTCCTAACCCACAGAAACCATGAGAATAATGAGATAATTGTTGTTTTAGTCCCTAAATTTTGGAGTGATTTGCTCTGCAGCAATAGACAACAAGGACAGTATGTCTCATCTCTTTAGCCACAGTGATTGTTGTAGGGCGGGCATGGGACCCGGTCCAGTCTAATCAGTGCAAGCCTTAGCTAAGAATGCTAGAACACAGATGGTCTCTTCTCCTCTGGGCTTGATGGCACAAGCAACAGTCTCAGTCAGATGCTGTAGCCATCTGATTGTAGCAAGAGGAGACAGCCTAGGGTGAAACTAACACACAGAGGGAGAAGAGCAGGGAGAGAGATCATAATGACATCATTGGACCCTGAATCAAGCTGCACCTGAAGCTACAATTTGATTTATTCATTACCTACTAGAAGTCATCTACAGTCAAAAGATTTTGGAACTGCAAGTCACCATACGGATGGCAGAATCCAATCCCAATTATGATACCTGAATCTTTCTTATTTTATTCCTGATCTATGACCAGACATTAGAAAACCATCAATGACAGAGAGCTCACCATATGGAGCACCCATTCTATCTCCAAGCAGCTTTAATTGTTGAGCCAAATATGTCCCTCTACAATAGTTTCCATGAGGCAAACTGAAATATCTAAGAATACTACATATAAGAAGAATATTTAAGTTTCATCAAGTTCCTTTTTTATTTTTATTTTTTCAATTTCATTGAGATATTGCCATACATCATGGTACAAGTTTAAAGTGTACAGCATAAAGGTTTGACTTACACATACTCTGAAATGATTATCACAATAAGTTTAGTTAATATCCATCATCTCACATAGACACAATAAAAAGAAAAAGAAAAAACCTTTTCCTTGCAATGAGAACTCTTAGGATTTACTTTCTTAACAGCTTTCCTATTTATCATACAACAATGTTAACTGTAGTCATCATGCCGTACTTTATAGCTCTAGTATTTATTAATCTTATAGCTGGAACTTTGTACCTTTTGACTACTCACCTCCAATCCCCCCTCCTTATACCCAGCAAGTTCCTTAAGAAAGAATTTTATGATATTCAAATTGCCAAGATGGAGAGATGTGGGCTGGATGCTGTGACAGTGAGCTGGACTGACAGCTGGTTGAATACTTTCTACTTCAGAGCAGTGATTCATTGATCAACCTAAATCAACATCAAATAGGAGGAGCTGCTAGTCCTTGGTCTGCTTCTCCTGGTATGAAACCAATGGCTTGAATAGGCCATTGAGATCATGATAAATATGTCTATGAGTGGCATGACGCCGGGAGGGAAACTGTTAGATTGGCTGAGAAATCAGTATCCTGAAATATATTGATAGGATAAACAATGAATCCAACAAGATGAAATTTAGTAGAAATAAACATAACCTTTTTCCCTTTAGGTTCTCAAAATCAACTGTATCAGTGTGAGAGAAATGGAAAGTGACTCAGTTGAGAGACAACACATTTTTAGAAATTTTACTTGTCAAAAAGACTTGATGCAAGACAAAACGGTCATGCATCTATCAAAAAAGTTCATGTGCTCTTAGGTGGTATCAGCAGAGGTAGAGTGTTGAAAATAAGGCTGAGAATTCTCTTTTCTCCAAGCTGGTGAGACTTGCCCTGGAGTACAATGCTCACTTTGTGGATGCCACATGTTAAGAGAGAGATCGACAGGCTGGCACATACTTAGAAGCAACCCGGGTATGGTGAGAAAACTGGAAGCCTTATCGTAAGAGACGTGGTTAACAGATGTGGATGTTTGCCTGGAAAGAACTGTGCGATATCTGGGCTTCTGGAAAGTCTGATAAAGTCACTATTATCCTTTGGGGGAAGGCATCCTGGGGAAAGATTCACAATGGCCTGCCAAGTAGGAACTTTAAAGCTAGAGCTTCTAAAATACATTTGCCTAATCTGCAGTTCTTAATCCGCCCTCCTCAGCTGGGTTGGGAAATCTCTTGAGACACTGATGGGAGCTCCCGATCCATTCCCCAGAAAAACCACAGAAACACAATAATTTGCACATTCTTCAGGTTTATGGATCCCTCTGAGGTCCATGCATCCCAAGCTGAGAAGCCCTGTTGGAAAGAATAGGCCAAATGGATTGATCCTACAAATTGTCATGTCATCAGAAGGCACACAAGCCCCTGTTATGTTATGTCATTATGTAACATTCCTTGAAATATCCATTCATTGCATTTTCTTTCATATTCTCTTCTCCACAGAAGCAGATATTATAAAGCCATTGCTTGAGATTGCTAACAGTGAAGGGATTGCTTTTTGTGGTTTTATTTCACTTTCTCACCTTCAGAGCAATGCAAAGAACTTTTAAAGCCTTTTCTTTTCGTGGCAATTTTCTTTTATCCTTTCCTCAATATTCTTCATTTTCTTCTCTCTTTCTATTCTCTTCTCTCCCACCTCTCCTTCCCCAACAGGGAAAGAAAGCAGGGATGCGGTGGCAAAGGCATCAAAGATGGGGGGCATGACTAGAGGGAAATTGGGACTGGCCAGGGGCTCTTCATGCTTCTCTCCTGACCTCTGACCCCTCCTTCCCTTCTCCATGTGCCCTCTGCCCTCTGCTAGTCCCTGTCTTCACCCTAGAATTCTGAAGCTTCTGAGGCACTCAAATAGAAGCTTCTATGCAATAGGCACACTGACCTCATCCTGTGGGAGATTTGGGCATGCGAGGTGGTGGTTATTCATGTTGGTCTTTTTATGACAAAATTCTGAGCTTTGATAAAATATGCTATGATTTCAATGAAGATTCTACATTAGCTTGATTGTAACAGTTTAGTTAATTGTTCGTCTTGTCTCTACCAATGGATTATAAATTTCTGATAGGCAGAGGCCTCATGTACATTAACTTTGTGCCTTTCACAGGAAATTGTTAATGTGGCTGATTTTACTGCCTCTGCTGTGTGCAAACTATTGGCGTGTGCTACTCATATAATACAAGATAAAACCAGGTATACATGCAAAGGAAATGCAACCAGGATCTCGAAGAGATATCGGCCCCCTCATGTTCATTGCTGCATTATTCACAATAGTCAAGCCTTGGAAACAACCCCAGTGTCCATCAACAGATGAATGGATAAAGAAGATGTTTACTGTATACATACAATGGAATATTATTCATCCATGAGACAGAAGGAAATCCTCCCATTTGTGACAACATGAATGAACTCTGAGGGCATTTTGCTCAGTGAAATAAGTCAGAGAAAGACAAATACTGTATGATATCACTTATATGTGGAACCTAAAGAAGCTGAACTCATAGAAACAGAGTAGACTGGTGGTTTCCAGGAGTTGGGAGATGGAGGAAATGAGATACTGGTCAAAGGGTACAAACTTCCAGTTATAGGATGAGTAAGTTCTGGAGATCTAATATACAGCATGCTGATTATAGTTAATAACACTGTATTATCTACTTGAAAGTTGTTAAGAGAGTAGATCTTAAATGTTCCCACCACACAAAAGAAATCGTCATTATGTGGTGTGATGGAGATGTCAGCTAATGATATAGTGGTAATGGAGTTGAATTCCTGTGTCAACAGCTACTAGATGTGTAACCTTGGGTGAGTTCCTGGGCCTCTCCGGATCTCAGTTTTCCCATCCATAAAATGGAACTCATAACATATAAAGAGGCTGAGTTAGGGTTAAATGAGCTAATTTATGTAAACCGCTTAGCCCAGTATCTGGCCCATATTAGAAAAATGTTAGTTATTATTATTTTAATGAATGTGGTCTTCCCATACATTTTTGATAGTTGCAAAAATTTTTAGCAGGAAGCAAAATTTGCATTAGACCTGGGCATACCCAGTCCCTTCTTCTGATCGATGCCGCAAAGCAAAAGGGAGTCCAAATTCAATGCAAGAAGTAAAAACTCATGGCAATCCTCCAGAATTCCAATTCCCATGAATATCTTACAAAAAGAAAGTTGAAATGACTGACTGAGCTTATTCAGTTTATTTATTGCCGACTTCTGGATTTTCTTCGTCTTCTGTTGACTAGACGAGCATGTTCCAATTTGTATAGTTGTTTGAAACACTGTTCAGCCTTCATTTCATTTATTAATATCAGGTGCAAGGAAGCAGCCTTAAGCAAATAAAGGGCTCGCTCCTTCCAGTCTCTGAATACATTCCACATTTCAGGTTCATTTTCTTGCCAACATGAGCATGCCCAGTTCTTCTGCTGGACAAGAGCCTCAGTGAGAGAAGTCAGTGGACAGCAGCTGGTATGCCGTGGCCATCCGTCACGGGGTCCAGGGCTTTATCTGATTATAATGCGTGGTGTGTACAGAGGTTTCCACATCTGCAGCACAGAATCCAAGACAGTCTTTCTCATGAAGGGGAACCTGTAAAACATCATTTGTCTAAGAAAAAAAGAGCGCTCTGACAAGGGTTTGGGTGGGGAAAGTGTTTTCTCTCTGTGTTTGTAACCTGCAGAAACATCCCTGGGCTCTCAGATGGGCTCAGAAAGGGCCTGTCTGGCCTGTGGCAACACTGGCTCCGTTTGGAATGAAACCCACATGGAGAAACGTACAGAGGAAACTATTTGGGAGCGGGAACTGGGTGTGCTTCAGACGTTAAGTCTGCAGAGAAGAATCTGTGCCCTTTTTTTTTTTTTTAAAGAAAAACAAGCCCCTGGAAATGAACTTTTAGAGAGATGGTTTATGCAGGAAATCTTCCCAGAAGGGAAAAAAGAAATGGAGTTAAGAAGAAATTCAAATTATACTCCCCATGTACTAGGAACAAAAACGAAGACAGCCGTTGAAAACTGCAAAGTTCACTGAAGCTCAAATAAAGACCTTGGGTGCACTGAGCAGGAACTGAAGGATGGTTGTCCTTTGTGCTGGCCAACGATTTCGGTCTTTCTCTGTAGGTGTGAATTACAGCTCTGGTACAGTGGCCCCCCTTTCTCCATGCGGGATATGTTCCAAGACCCCCAGGGGATGCCTGAAACCACGGATGGTACCAAACCCCATATATACTGTGCTTTTTCCCATACATACATACCTATGATAAAGTTTAATTTATAAATTAGGCTCGGTAAGAGATTAACAGCAATAACTACTAACAAAATAGAACAATTATGATGATAAACTGTGATAAAAGTTACCGTAGATCTTAGCAAGCTCAGCACAAGATTTTTTTTCTTTCCTTAAGGGGGGAACTTTCATTTTTTCGCGTAAAGGAAACAATTTACGGCTTCTCTTTGACATATCCAAACTGTCGCAACACTGCTCTTGCATTTTTGGAGCCATTATTATGTAAAATAAGGGCCACTTGAACACCAGCATTGCAGTGCTGACAGTCGATCTGGTAACCCAGGTGGCTACTAAGTGACTAACGGGCGCATGGCGTCTGCAGTGTGGATCCGCCAGACAAAGGGACAATCCACGTCCCGGGGTGGGACAGGGTGAGACACTGTGACTGAGAAAATGACATAAGTGAGTAAAGACAGGGACCACTGTGCTGTTTATCTTCTTGCTCACGGCCTCTCTCCTCTTCTCTTTCCCCACACAGACACATCTAAGAGTGAAGGAAGACTAAAATCGAAAGGCGAAGTGGGAGACTGAGCTCCGGGAACACGCAGGCCCTCAGATCCTGGAGCCGTGCAGGGGGCGTTCCTGCTGTCTTGGCTGTTCCCTGTGCTGCTCACCGCCCCACCCAGGAGAGGCAGAGAGGCCCAGAGGCTGAGGGCCTGGACCAGCCGGCTGTGAGTCTGGGGTATTTCCCTCAGTGCACGCAGGACCTTGGGTCAGTTTCTTAACTCTTAGTACCAATGTTTTCTCATTTATCAAATGAAGGTTTCAATGGTACCTCCTTCCTAGGGATGGCATGAAAATCCATTGGATTAATAAAATCAGTACTTCCAACCTTACTTTTGTTATCACCCCAACTCCTCACCCGAGGAAATGTTTTAGATTTTTTTTTGCCTCATTGCTCCGCTTACGAAAATTTCGTCCCACGGATATGCTGCCTATCTGTGCGTGCACTGTTTCTATCCCTGAGTAAGATTGCTTTTGCCATTCCTCCCACCCCACCCACCCTCCCCAAGAATCGATCATCCTCAGGACTCTCTCGAGGGAAGAGAGAAGGCTCTTGAATATTTTTGGACCCCAAAATGACACATGCCAAGCAGAACTCACTGAGCAGGGTTAGTCCCAAGGCCTGGCCGGTGCAAGATCAGCGAATAAAGGAAGTGCATGGGGCTTCGAGGGACAGTAAATGTCTTGCCCCAGGTGCCGTTCAAATGGACTGTGCTGGGAACTGTGCCTCCTGCAGTTGTCGGCCTGGTGATCCCGTGGCAGTGGCCGGCACGCTATCACCCCAGCTGCTGCAACTTCCTCTAGTCGTGATCCATCCTTGCATGTCAGGAACCTGGTGTCAGACTGTCATCCCCACCAGCCTCTGGACACCATGCCTGGGAGGTGGGGCTCTCCGTCTGGGGACAGATCGTCCTCTCCAGCACCATTTCCCTCACATCCTGGTTTAGTCTCCTTGCTACTCTTCCAAGAAGCTGAGTTCTCTGTGGTCTTAAGGTGAAGGTTCTAGAAATAGAATAGTGATGATGATGCATACATCACAATACTGTGCTGGAAACAAAGTACCCCACACATTTGTTTGGACACAGGGACAAAAATAACCAATTATCATCATATATGCCACATGATTTTATTTATTTATTTTTTTGGTGAGGAAGATTGGCCCAGAGCTAACATCTATTGCCAATCTTTCTCTTTTTGCTTGAGGAAGATTGTCGCTGAGCTAACATCTGTGCCAGTCTTCCTCTGTTTTATGCGGGGTGCCACCACAGCATGGCTTGATGAGCGATGTGTAGGTCCACATCTGGGATCCAAACCAGTGAACCCCAGGCCACTGAAGCAGAGCGCGCAAACTTAACCACTACGGGCCAGCCCCTGTCACAAGACATTAAAAGCAGAAGTGGCCAACCAATTTAGTTAAAACTGATTGAAGAGGTATGTGTGTGTGAATGTGTGTGGGGTGTGCGTGTAAAGTCACAAATTCAAAACATGCTCGCTCTCATCCTAGGCTGCATTTGCGTTGCTTCCTCTCAGAGCATTTGGAAGAGCCCACATCAGTCACTGGGAGGAGGGACTTGTTGAAAGGACTTCCTGGGCTCCCCCCACCCCTACTGCACTGGAATCTCTGAAGTGGGGCCCAGAAATCTGGAGTTTCAGGAACATCCTGAGGGAATCCTTTTGCAAACTCAAGTTGACGGTCATTGGCTTGAAGATGCCCAAATAATTTGGTCAATTCAGTGACAGCATCAAATCCAATTATTTGCTACGTCACACAGAGAAAACAGTTCGCTTGTCCATTTGCTCTAGAAATGCTTCAGCACCCACATATGACCTTATGCACCTTCTGCGAGTTACAAAGTATTGTGAACCCTTAATGCACTCAACGTTTCAGAGACAAGATGAGACAAAATTGTTGAGCGAGTGACAGCTCTTTTCACCTCCCGGGGAGGAGTCCCCTCCACCAGGAGCAGCAGTCCCAGATGTCAACCTCCTTGTGGTTTAGGGTGGCCAAGAAAGACACAACCCACGCAGATAGATTGTGCTTTACTCACATGGAAGAGGCAAAGCAAGGCCAGCCTCAGTAGCGGGCCTTGGTCCCCATGGCTAACGGCTGATGCAGCACTGAGGGATTTCCAGAATCCCTCCTGGAATTAACTCAGGGAAGGTGGCATTTGAGTAGGTCCTTGGAGGATGGAAGGTAGAGCCTGGGATGGAAGGGAGCTCACAGGAAGGAGTCTGAGACCCTGACGCTAACTGGCTAAGCCCAGAGTGTGCGTGGGGAGCTGGGAAAGCCCGCCTGGAGGGTTAGCAGGAGTAGAATGGGGAGGGCCTTGGGATCCTGCTAAGAGCTGGGGGCAAAGCATGGAGAAGTTGAGGGCTGTTGGGACATTGTTATGAGCTGAATTGTGTCCCCCCAAGAGACACGCTGAAGTCCTAACCCCCTATACCTGTGAGGTGACCTGATTTGGAAATAGGGTCTTTGCAGGTGAAATCAAGTTAAGATGAGGTCATTAGAGTGGACTCTAATCCATGTGACTGATATCCTTTGAAGAAGAGGGGGAGACGCAGAGACAGACACGCACAGATGGAAGAACACACATGTGAAGTCACCATGTGACAACGGAGGTCGGAGGGATGCGTCAGCAAGCCAAGGACACCAAGGACTGCCAGGAGCCCCAGAATGAAGAGGAAGGCAGGAGTAGATCCTCCCTCTAGAGCCTTCAAGAGATGTGGCCTTGCTGACACCTTGATTTTGGACTTCTGGCTTCCAGAACCGTGAGAGAATACATTTCTGTTGTTTCAGCTGCCCAGTACTTTGTAAATATGACCACGGGAGATGAATACAGAGATGCTGGTTAAGTTCATCCCTTTGAAACGGGCCTATTCCAATGCCATGTGTGTGTCAGGTGCCCTGGCAGAGGCTGTGTTCTGCAGCTGCAGGAGCAGATGTCGTCCACCACGTTAGTACCTCTCGTAACAGCAGAAAACCTGCTCATGAGGCAATTATGGCCGTGACGTCTACTGCTCTCTTCCCGAAGTATCTGTGAGAAGTCACATGTATGTGCATGTACAGTGAAACCTGTCGATCACACGTCCTTCAGTAGCAAATGGTGTTCTGAAGGCCTGGCCCAACGCTCAGCAGCCAGTGCTCCCATTTACAGTGACTTCCCGCTTACAGTCTCTTTCGAAGTCTCTAGGAAGATGGAGTTAAAAACTCACATTGAGTACATCCTAAGGAAAACACATTCATAAAAGACCTGTGTTCAACTGAAAACAAGACTCAGAGTAACGGATCAAAACATAGCCTAAAAATGCCTCTCTAATTCGTTGCAAGTGGTTGGTGTGTTTGCGGGGAGCTCTGCATGGGGGCCTAAGCTATGAACCTATTGCAAATTCAGATATGGCTGAGCAACTCTCGCAAAGTTCAGAACAAGGAGCGGAAACCAAAATGGGCTACCTCTTGAAAAAGGGGAATTTAGTATAAGTATGTGTGTTTTTGGTGAAGAAGATTGGCCCTGAGCTAACATCTGTTGCCAATCTTCCTCTTTTTTTTTCCTCCCCAAATCCCCAGTACAGAGTTGTATATCCTAGTTGTAGGTCATTCTAGTTCTTCTGTGTGAGATGCCGCCACTGCATGGCTTGATGAGCGGCGTGTAGGTCTGTGTCCAGGATCTGAACTGGTGAATACCATGCCGCTGAAGTGGAATGCACAAACTTAACCACTCAGCCACGGGGCTGGTCCAAGAATTTATTATAAATATACAAGCAGTGCTAGACTCGTGCAAAAGATAGACCAAGAAGATGCTTGAGCACCAGCAAAGCAGAAACAAATTTTTTTAAAAAAGAATCTGATCCGCAATTTTTAAAAAATAAAGTAGTTAGGCGCAAATCATAATTTACAGAGCTTCCTTTGGCTTGTAGTTGAGCACTGTTTTTATTTTTAGTGACTTATGCAGGGGTAGAGAGGACTCAGTCTTCTCTGGTTTCTCGCAAGGGGTTAGTGTGGCCCAGATTCTGGGATGTGCCATAGGATTGAGGCTGGCAATGCAGCTGGGTGAAGGAGGGCTGGCAGCCAGCACCGCAGGCCTTCCAAGGAGGGCCCTTTCCCCGTGGGGTTTGTGTGTCTACACGGCTGTCCTGGCCACCTGTCCTCAGCTGCTCGGGCAGGAGTGGGGGAAGATGCTCATCCTCATTCACACAGCACAATTCTCCCGCGTGGCTTCTCTCTCCCTCTCACACACGTAGTTCCAGTCTTAATTCTAAATACACAGACAGAGGAATCTTTCCCTGCTGGGTCAGGCCCACCACCGGTTTGATGAACCCCAGCCAGAGCGGTCGGGATGTGTAATATACAGGAACAAAGACAGCGTGGCAGATAGGACTACAGATTTGGGAGTTGGACTTCATGGGCTCTGATTCCGACTCCACCACATCCTGATTATGGATTAGCCGCGTTATTAAACCCCTCCTGCCTCAGTTTCCTCATGCTTGATGGAGCAAAGAGCAGCGCCTACCTCACAGAGTTTCTGTGAGGCTCAAATGAGCCACCGAGCACTGTACCTGGCACATCGTAAGTACCCAGTAAATAGTAGCTACAATTATTCTGAAAACTCTTAGAAGACCCTTGTCACCATCTGGATCAAGGAAGGAGGGCAGTTCCTGGAAAAGCGTGTAATGGCTCAAGAGCTGGGCAAGGCGTCCCCTACAGAGGGCCAAGGGCTGGGCAACATGTGAACCACTTCAGGGGAGTGGAACTGCCCACATTTGGTCTGCAAGCCGTGGTCAAAAGGGAGGCAACCGAATGCAGGACATTGCCACGAAAGCCTCAACGGTCAATGCAGATGGAGCAATAGCTCCCTGTTCACAGTGCAGCTGCATTGTCCCCAGACAACAGAATTGATGAGGAGGCTGTGAGAAGGTTACTGTAAAAATGTCTGCCAGCTTTTTGACCCATGGTCTGAGTCATTGGAAGATAGGACTGTGTGGGAGTTGATGGTGTGGGAAATGGGTTAGGAGACATTTACGTCAAGAACGAACTTGACTCTAGAGAATTGAAGAAAGCCTCCTCCTCGCTGTTGGCATCTTCTGCTTGTCTTTTGTGAGAAAGTGAATCATGAACGAGAGGCAACGCTGGTGACCAGATAGCTGTGTCACCGTGACCCCTCGGCATAGACCTCCTCGTTTGCCAGAATGCTTCAAAGCTGGCAGACACTAGAAGAAAGTGGAGCTTCCCATCTTGGAAGAGGAGTGAATCCAGACTGCCGAACTTGGCCCAGGGCGCTGAGAGGAGAAGGGTCAGCTTGAAGTTCAGCCTTGTTCTAAGCACTTTAAGTGCATTATCTCGCTACTTTTCAAATCCACCCATTTACATAAAGGGAAAATGAGGCTCAGAGAGGTTAAATTAGCTTGCCAAGGTCACATGGTAAATGGCAGAGCTGGGCGTGGCTGGCAGATGATGCTAATACCTCACCCCAACTCCTTGGCCCACTTTTGGTGGGTGCTGGGTGGGCCCTGTGAATGCTGACGCTTTCACCTCCCGCCTGAGTCTTTCTGCTTCCGTGCCTGGGACCGTCCTCCAGTCCCACTGGGAACTTGCTCGACCCACACACGGGGCAGATCATCCAGACTGGGACGGTCGAGGAGCCACCATCTGGGGATGTCACCAGGCTGGAGTTACATCCTGGGGCAGGAACACAGAGGTCAATCGCCCTCACTTATAAAGCCCAGTGGCAGGTTCATTAACAGGCATCCCGGGAAGTCCTGTCTCCAGGGGTCCGGCTTAGGATGAGGCCACCATGTTTCACTGCACAAGTGCCCTCACCAGTTGGCTATCATTCAAAGCCCCAAAGGCCACAGAGGGTCCCTAGAGGGACTGCATCCCAGTTGTCCACAGTGACAACCTGCTCATGAACACATCCCTTCTCGGCTTTTCTCCATTCCCTTAATAACCTTTGTCCCCACACATCTATGCTGCCTGGGATCCCTTCTCAAACAAGCCGACCACACCAAA